TTTTAAATTGATAATGGACTGGATAAAACGTAATGCTGTACAGAATAAAAGAAATTCTTTGAAACGAGATAAAGATAGTATGTGTAACTCAGCTGTTCTTTAAGTATTCAGCTCGAAAAATAGCTAGCTCATTTTAATAATGAAAATAAAAAATAAAAATAAAAACAAAATAAAACGTTAACATTTTTTCAAGTGGATAGAAATGTAGAGCAGACGTCGCTCTATCTAACAGTAAAAAAATTATTTTCTTACCTCTTTTATTTTAAGAGATAAGCTTCTTACAGTGTCTGAATAGTTCTTACACAAACTGTAGTTTTCGTTCTGTTGTTGATCATCAGACTTTAGTCAACAGCATCACGTATCAACTTTCTATTTCGTCATGACATAGACACATAATTTGAATATATCATGCTAAGTGCTGTCATGACGTTTTCATAAACACAGGTACAACCTATCTACTTCCTTGGTAAACATTTACTTCAAGCGTCAGTATATATATACATATTTGCATTTTATACTCGTTGTATAGGCACAACATGCATCTCTTCTTGCTTATTGTTTGTTTTTTAACACTTACCTCCATAATATTTGGCTTTGATGCTGGTTGGTCAAACAGTTTTATGTCATCGGACGATACCACTCATTATTCAATGACCGAATGTGCTGTACTAGAAATTACAACTAATTATTTAAGCAAAATACATAATGTAACAACATTACAAAATATTATGAATATAAATAATGCGGGTCAGTGTAATACTAAACATATTCAAGATTTAATTAATTCACAATTAAAATTATTAAAAATTGATCCAAAACGTTTGAGTTTATCAATCAAAACTATTGCAGATTCAAATACGGAAACCGATTTTAAAGAAATGACAAATGAACCAACCCATTTTGATAGTGAAACATTTAATGAAGGTGCACAATTAATTTCAACCAAATTAGAGGCAGCTAAAATTTCAATATTAAATGATAAAAATTATGTATTAGCACAGGAAATATTTGGTTCATTATTACATACAATACAAGATTTTTATAGTCATACAAATTGGATTGAACTTGGTTATAATGTACCAAATAATGCCTTGGGTAGAAATGAAATACTTGGTAATTATGCTCCAAAATGGTTACGCACATGTATCAATTGCGAAGGCGACTCATGTAAAACGAATATTGAACCATATGTAATTGAAAATAATTTTTTAACTAGTGGATATTTTTATTTAAAAACAATGGGTATACCAATTGAAGAGAAACCATTTGGAAAATGTAGTCATGGTGGATTGAATGATTATACAATAAATACAGATGCTACAGGTGGTGGTATTAATAAAGATACATTTAACTCAGTTCATGGCCATTTACATGCAAAAGCTGCATTTGTTTCTTATCAAGCAACAATACAAATATTAAATGATTTTTGGTTGATGTTAGGTGATAATGCATTTGGAGAATTTCTTGGTTTATCTATGAGTTTTGTTAATGTATCATCGAGTAGTTTAATTATCGTAATGGATGACACTGGTAGTATGAGTCCTTATATTGAAATGGCTAAACAAATATCAATTGGTATTGTTGATATTCATAATCAATTAGAATATAAACCAATTAATTATATTTTATCACCCTTTAATGATCCAACGTATGGACCGTTGACAATTAGCGATAATCCAATGGCGTTTACAGCGCAAATAAGTAAATTAATTGCTCATGATGGTGGTGATGCACCAGAGTTGTATTATCATGGCGTTCTTGAAGCACTTAAAGTATGTGAATACGGTTCATCTATGTACACATTTACGGATGCACCAGCCAAAGACGCTTATCTTAAAAGTGAAGTAATAGCGTTAGCAACAGATAAAAAGGTTACAATTACGTCGTTTTATGCCACCCCCGGTGTACGTAAACAATTTGCTCAATCAAAATCAAATTCAATAGGAATGATGAAAGTAGAAGATGTAATTGAAGATTTAGCTAATTCAAATCTTGCGTCGTTAACCGGTGGTGTTACAATAGGTATTAATCCACAAGCATTGAATACAACAGCAGATTACATAATTCAACAATTAGAAGGTGATAAATTAAAAACCATTGTTTTAGGTAAAGGATATAATACAAATTTTACATTTTACATTGATGCGACCATAACAGTATTATATATTAAACTATCGGCAACTACCAGTTTATTGTCAACAAATATTAAATTAATCAGACCAACAGGAGATTTGTTCATACCAATACCCGTATCACAAACAGCTTATCTTTTCATGTATACAATACCAATAACGTCAAGCGATGACATTGGTCAATGGACAGTTGTATCTGATTTAGCTAGAACTCATACTATACAGTTGAACGGACAGAGTGAAGCATCTTGCATATCTACATTACAACAGCAAATTATTGGTACTTCTGATCTTAGTTTCACACCACTAACAACACATCCAATTTCAAATCAATCAGATTTATTCGTGCTTACAGTTTGTGAAAGTTTAACATCAAATATAACAGACGTACATATAAATGTAATGGATGTTAATGATGGTTCAAAAATATTGATGACACTAAATTCAATACGAATCACGTCAACTGGATTTTTAGCCAAAATAACTATACCAGATGTTGAATTTCGTCTAAGTTCAACTGCTGAATTAGAAGATGGAACTTATGTTCAACGACAAGAAAAACAAATTATCTCACCTACATCAATCTCAATGACCATTAATAATCAACCATATTTTGTGTTGGTTAATCATACACTGTCAATGAATTATACACTCTTCAATCGCGGTGAGGTTCCGTTACAAGTTACTCTGGTTGTTAAAGATTCGTTAGAGCTGCTAACTAATGTTGGTATAACGAAAAGGTATAATATTTTGAACCATAGTCAGATTAATGACACAATTGACATAAATACAAAATTTTGTTGATAAGTCGCTGCTGTCTGTGTTTGTTTTAGCCAAATTCTCTGTAAACTAGTCCCACAATATGACTGAAAACTTTACTGAAATAAATCGTTTCTA